TATGGTGGCAGGGGCAGTAGATGGCCTCACAAGGTTTTGTCCTCCAACAAGTCCATGAATCTCTTCTCTGAGGTCAGTGCTGTCTGAGTATCTGTGAAAGGAAGCTGTCAGGTCCACTTGGGAATGAGCTTTTGAGCACAAACTATCCTCAGTTCACATCTCTCTATGATACATGTGGCTAACTGCGGTTGTCACACTTAATCAAATCGAGCCCAGTTACACCTTTGCTCTCTTGCTGTAATATAAATATGGTGACTGAGAAGTGTGTTAGTTGCTGATGACATGGGGACTGGAGCAGCTGTGTTTGAAGGCAGTGAGAAGCCAGAGAGATTCATGTCTTAGACTCAGTGACAAGGGCAGCAGACAGACGCCTCGAGGATGTGGGCTTGGATGGCCCACTCTGCCACCCTCTCAGATGTCTGGGCAGTTTATTCTAGATCAGCAGGTGCTCTCTAAGGGTTATTTATATCTTTTTTCTTTCATCATTGCCAGTGGTCACAGGTTCCTCCAGCATGCATGGGTCTTCCTGCAGGTATTAAAAGGGCCAAGGACACCCTGGTGTCCCCTTTACTGAAGCCCACACTGTGCACCTGTACAAATGATTTATGTTGTCAGAAAGACAGTGACAAACCCATACCTTAGGGATCCAAAGAGAATTTCCAGCCACTAAACACAGGCATTGTTATAGAATGTGGTGAGGCTGTCTCTCTTCCCAGGAAGACTGAGGAAGGATAGGCACTTGGGAAGGAAAACTTGACCATCATAGTCCTCCACAGCAGAGCTTGAGTTTAGACACACTAGAGAGAGCTGGGTATATTTACAACTGTCAGCCAATGAGCTTGTACTTAAAGAATATAAGGGGAAAAGTGGGGGATAAGAAGACAGAGGAGAAGATGAGAATAGTCCTGCACTGGGCAGGGTGCAGTCCATTGATGAATGCCACAATGTTACTTAGGGTCAGAGATGGTATGTGGGTGAGGGATTTTTGAAGAACATGACTTCTAGATTCATTCATCAGGGACTCCAGTCTGGAGTCCAGGCCAGATTCAGCTCTTCTGTTTGACATAATTCTAACATCATTGTAAATGTTTCCAGGTAAATCTGAAGTTGATGCTAGAAAATGTATAAACGAGGCTTGGGAGGGATGGCTGTCAGTAAAGTACTTGCCTTTAAAGTGTGAGGACCTGAGTTTGATTCCAAGAACACGTATTTAAAAAACCAACCAACCAACCAGACAAACAGAAAAACAGGCATGGTGGCTCACACTTGTAATCCCAGCACTGGGAAGGTAGAGATAGGTAGAGCCCTAGGGCTCACTGGTCAGCCAGTCTAGGCTAACTGGAAAGTTCCAGGTCAGCGAGACCTTGTCTCAGCCTTGTCTCAAGAAACAAGATGGATGATCCTTGAGGAATGATACCCAAGGTTGACCCTTGGCCTCCAAACACATGTGTATAAGCATCTACACACACACACACACACACACACACACACACACACACACAAGAAAATGCATAAACCACATCTGAGATATTTTACCACCTACAGAGTAGGATGGACAGTTGGACAGTGATTTTTTTTTTGCTTATTTTATTTTTTGAGAGGTTTTCCCTGTAGCCCTAGCTGGCCTGGAACTTGCTATGTAGACCAGGCTGGCCTTGAACTCACAGAAATCCACCTGTCTCTGCCTCCTGCATACTGGAATTAAAGGACTGCACCACCACACCTGTACAGTGACTTTTTAAAAATCTTCTAAACTTGACTCCAAGGACCCACAAAAGGGTCTCAAGCATGATAGAAATGTTATCAAACCTCTAGCCTCCAGGCAGGACCTTCCAAATCCTGCATCTTGTTACCTACAGAGTCTTCAAATTTCTCTTCTAGGGTTTCCTTTTGGGGAGTGTCCCTCTGTCTAAGCAATATCAGCCACACTTTTTTCTTTAAAATATTTTACTTATTATTTTTATTTTATGTGTATAAGTGTGTTGCCTGCATGTATGTAAGTGCACTTATGTTGTGCAATGCCCAAGGAGGTTGGAAGAGGGCATTGGATCCCCTGGAACTGGAGAGATGGTTGTTAGCCACCATGTGAGTGCTGGGAATCAAACCCAGGTCCTCCACAAAGCACCAATGCTCTTAACTGCTGAGCCATCTCTCCAGCCCCAACCACACTGTTTTCTAACATTCAGTAGCTCTGAAAGGATCTGCGTGTCAGTGTCTTAGGGCTAGATAGTTGTGAGCAGTGAGGGGTTGAGAATCTATCCTTCCTCATCAGGACTTCTGCTTGTTTATTCCTTTGGAATTCACTATAGCCTCCTTACTGTAAACAATCCATTGAATTACTCCATCACCTTTCCCCCCTGAATCTCCCATAGTGCCTTGCAGTGCTCAAGCCCCAAAAGTGCTTAGAAAGGCAAGCCATAACTGTTCCTCCCCGAGGGTCAGCACCGCGGACAGCGCTCAGCTCTTCTCTGCTCTCTCCACAAACGAGTCACAGGGCCTCACATGAGTTCTAATTTCCAAGGCAGAAGCTGGAAGTTTGTCCTATCTGTGAGACCTTGGCTGTACCACCTCCTTTTCATCTGCACATGAAGGGATGAATTCCAAGCTTCACTATGTCATGCATGTCTTTTCCAGAGGCTCTTTAAAAGTCACCTTGCCAGTGTGATGGTGCACACTAGTAATCCTAGCATGTGGCGGCTGAAGCAGAATTGCCACAAGTCTGAGGTCAGCTGAGGTTCATAGCAAGACCCTGTCTCAAATAAATAAATAAATAAATAAATAAATAAATAAATAAATAAATTACGCTTCCTGATTTTTTTTTGGGGAGGGTGTCTTTTTGAGACAGGGACTCCCTGTAGCCCCAACTGACCTGGAACTCACTATGTAGACCAGGCTGGCCTCAAACTCACAGAGATCTGCCTGCCTCTGCCTCCCAAGTGCTGGGATTAAAGGCGTGCGCCATCATGCCCGGCATGCCTTTATCTCTTGAGCCCATAAATGTAATCTTAAACTGAACGTAATGGCCCAAACCTGTAATCCCATGTGATGACTAATATTGCTTGTCAACTTCACACACCTGGGAAGAGGCAATCTCAACTCGGATTGGTCTGTAGACTTTCCTGTGGGGCATTTTCTAAATTATCAATTGATGTAGAAGGGCCCTGGCCCCTGTGGGTGCTATCATCCCTAGGCAGGTGGGCCTGGGCTGTTAGAAGGGCAACTCTATGTGAGCCTGGGAGCAAACCAGTAAACAGGATTTTTCTGTTGGTTTCTACCTCAAGCTCCTGCCTTGGCTTACATCAGTCTGAATTAGAACCTGTAAGCTAAAATAAACCCTTTCCTCCTCAAGCTGCTCTTGGTTATGGCACGCATCACAGCAACAGAAAACAAACTAGAACATCCCAGGACTTGGCAAGCTGAGGCAGGAGCTCACAAGTTCAAAGCCAGCCATGGCTAAATCTAGAAACCCATTTTTTAAAAAGTAGCAGCTTTGACTTGTAAGACTCAAGTTAAGGCAGCTCCTATTTAGCTTGTAGGTAACAGGAATACCTGACTTCAGGGACCTATAATATAGCCATGGTCTCCCACAGCCAGTGACATGCATCTTTCTCCAATACTGAGAGCACAGCATCTTCCCTGTAATATTCTTTTTGCAGATCTCTCACTGCCCACTCCTGTAATAGGCAAAATCTAGCATGTATGGGTTTGTGGGAGAGGCAGGCTTTGGGGACCAGGACAGGGGGGATGTGAGGTTGGGGCTAGTTAGGCATTTCCAGAGGGGAGGGATTACTTTGGCTTTGGAAGGGAGATTCCAGGCCTTGCTGTGTTGGTAGGGGTGTCAAAAGTAGCCCCTACTTGTCATGATGGTGTTGCCTGAGCAGGAAACAGTGGGAGAAGCCCAAGAAGGAGAGGAGGCATGGTAGTATGCAATGGCTTCTGGCCAGATTTTAGAGCAGGGCTGAGCAGAGACTGGCAGCTCTCTAGAGCTCAGGACTGTGGGGGGTGTGACAGTGGTGGGAGGGGCATCAAGTTGTCACACTGTCCCGTGTGCCTGCAGGGGGACTGCAGTAGGTTTCTGGTCTCTTGATTCCTTTGAACAGGGCCATTCCTCTGTCTCCCCGACCCCCGCCAGGATACCACAGGGAGGAGGCAGCTCCTCCTCTTCCTGTCCTCTCCCATCTACATCTCTTCCTTGACAATCACTCCTCTCACAAAGCCAATAATTCAAGCCCCCCTTGTTTCTGTCCAGGGCACTTAGCCTGGGGCAGATGTATAGCTGTCATCTTTTGGGTCAAGTGAAAGGAAGCCCAAGCATCTGTACTGAGAGGGAGCACTTGGAACCCTCTGTAACTCACCAGACACCAAAAGGGAAATTCTAGGCAGTACTCAGGCACCTCCTACCTCCAACTGGTACTCCTGCCCTTAAATTCCCCTCAAGATGCCAAGTGTACCTGCTACCATTGCCCATCTCATCTTCCTCCACAGTCTCTGAGAACAATGTGGTGTGTCTCACACTGCAGCCCCTGGCACAGACTCCTCCCACCAGGTGACACCTGTATGTCGAACAGGCAGAGGCACTGTCCACTAAGTAGAGATGGCATCCAGGTGTGGTGGGGCTGTCAGTGAACATGCTTTTTTAGGCAGGGCTTTCTGAGCCATTCATAACACACTTGGTGGTCCACTACTTGCCTAGGTAGTGAACTAGTTCTGGAGGCGAGTGGAGCTGGGGGGGTGGGGACAGACTTGCTCAGCATAAAAGTTTCCTATGTGTGTGGGGGCACATGTGGGTACAGTGTTCTTGACTGGAGAACTGGGGACTCAAACTCTAATACCAGAGCTATCCATTGCTCAGGTCCCATCATGAAAACCATTGCCCAAGTCAGAGGGATGTTTGAGGGCACAGAGTGAGTTTCAGGGAACACTCTGGGTCCATAGCCTTATTAATGGCCCAAAGCTTTGAGTTCAGAGGAAAATAGATTCCACTTCTCATTTTCTACCAGGCCCAGGGAGCACAAGCTACCTGGATGCTAGTTGGACCTACTCTTGGGAAGGCAATTCCAGCTGAACCAGGACTTCATCTACTTCAGCTGCAGAGCTGTTGTCTCATCTGGTGCCCAGCAAGTGAAGGTGCTCAGTAGACAGCTGTTGAGTGAACGCTAAGGAATTTTACTTGTGATCGCAGGTATGAATTCTTCCTTGGGCAGAGCAACGGCCAAATGACCATCTGGTTGTCATGTTGTGGGAAGGACTTGGGCAGCACTGATGACCAGGCTTAGGAGCTGTCACCCCGGCTCTGAGAATCCATGGTTCTGTAGCCTCTTTTGAAAGATCTTAAAATGTGGCTGTAGAGCCGGACTTGGTGGTGCATGCCTTTAATCCCAGAACTTGGGAGGCAGAGGCAGGTAGATCTCTGTGAGGCCAGCCTGGTTTACATAGCAAGTTCCAGGCCAGCTGGGGCTACAGAGACCCTGTCTTAAAAAGACCAAAAAAAAAAAAAAAAAAAAATGTGGCTGTAGCTGAGCTGGCAGTGGAAGTCTTTCTCAGGGACAAGCACCCTGGTACCTTTTGCCTAGCTACTCTGCTACAACTTGTCACCAAGTGTGCTCATCAAACTGGATAAAGTGAACATTTTCTCCTTTCTTCAAAATCCTCATTTTGAGCGTCCCATGTTCCATCTCAGCTTGGCCTGTGACTTGCTGGCCATCTGTTCATCAGGGGTGATGGCCATGTGACTTCCACATGTATTTTCTAGAGGTTCTCTCTCTCTCTCTCTCTCTCTCTCTCTCTCTCTGTGTGTGTGTGTGTGTGTGTGTGTGTGTGTGTGTGTGTGTGATGGTCACGCTGCCTGAAGGGGGAGTGGGTGGAGGGAGTAGGTATGGGTTCCAGCGCCAGCTGCATCCCTGGCCCTGGCTGGAGGTTGGGCAGATGAATAATAGATGCTGACTAATGACTCACTGCTCCTGTGGAGTGTTAGTGGGCCCCCGGCAGGTTTGTGTACTCAGGTGTCTCTAGTTGCCCTCCTGGTAGGTACAGACTCTTGGGCTTCCCTTTCCAGAGTAGGGAGGGCCACTTTCCTGAATGAGTGGACTGTGCCAGGGGGCTGTGCATCAGCCTTCTCAGGTGACTTGACTGGAGAGAAGGTGGGGGCTCATAATCCCTGATTCCAGGGGTTGAATTTGCCTGCTTTGTGGAGGTGTCCTCACTGCCTAATGTTGGGGAACACCCAGGAGGGGTTGCTTGGAGCAAAGGGGCAGCATATACTCTTGGGACAGCTAATTGGATGCAGTTGGCTTCTCTGGGTCCTAAGACCACCCCATAGAACAGCCTTGCTATGGTGATGAGGGAGGGACTGGAGGGTCATATGGGATTCAGTAGAGGAGAGGGGATCCGGCCAGGGTGCCTCTCCATAGCATCTGTCTGCAATAACAGTCCTTTAGTCTCTTCTGCCACCCCACTCCCACCTCTTTCCTCCTCCCATTCTCTGCTGACCCTGTGGGAATGGTGTCATTGGGATCCCCGGATAGAATTACAGCAACAGCCACCATATGCTTCGGAGGGCTGGCTGGTCCTTGATATGTGTGTGTGTCGGGGGGGGGGTGCTTGCGTGCACGCACACTGCAGGAGTGTACAGGCACATTCTTGCGTGTGTTTAATGGCATGCTCATCTATGGGGGGTATCACAGCCTTGTTTCTGCTTGGTGTGGCCATGTGGGCTGCTCCTATGTACATTTGCTCTGCCGCAGGCCATGAGTAGAACACAAATGTCCTTGACTTTCTGTTTTGATCTTCCCTCTGCCACACTGTCCCCTTTTCTCCCATGACTGCTGGAGACTGAGTAAGGAGGCCACCCAAGGACACCCCTCCTCAAGGGATGAACAGCCTAACCCAGGCTTCTCTGGCAGTTTGGAAAGGCCCCAAGGAAGGGCTGACCCCTAGCCCTTGCCCATCTCTGACTGTCACAAGCTCCTGTTGTAGGGAAATTTTTCTTGTTTTTGTGTCTGAGGGCCCCCAGCTGCAGTCCAGTGTGTCTTCTTGTTTCCTGGGCAGCGACCTCTTCCCTGAGGGCTCATGTAACACTTTAGTGTGGGAGGTGGATGAGTAATGTCTGCCTGCAAGAGGATAACACAGTTCAGGATTTAGGTTTTTGGACCAACTCTTTCATGTTTCTCCGTTTGCTACTGGGACCCTGTCAAAGATGCTGGAGCAGATCATCTTCACAGGAGACAGTGAGGACCTGCTGGCTGTACTCTGCTGCATATAGTCCAACCTGTTCCAGACCCTGGGCTGTGTCCTCCCATGGGGTCATTCCTGCTAAGAACTTTGGGAAATCTTAGTGAGCTTTGACCACATCCTCCCCTTTCACCTTGCTGGTGGGAGCTGGAGGAGTCTGGCTGATGCTGCGGCAGATCACATTAGCCCATTTGTCAGATGGGAAATGAAACCGACCAACAGAAGTGGCCTGAAGAGCTTGGGGTGTGGAAGCATCTTCTGGGTTCTGCTCTGCAATGCAGCCTGTGGGTATGAGGCATGATTGTAACTCTACCAGTGTGGCCCCACGCGTCCAGCCTCTACTGTGGGAGGGCTTCTGGCTGAGGTGAGATGCAGTGTGGAGCAGGCCTATGCTACCAGCCAGGCCACTGCCCCCATCCCATGAACGTGTTCTCTCAGTTGTGTGGCTGAAAAGCCTTTTTTTCCCCCTCTTATTTGGCTTCAATTCAGTGTTAGGTACCAAGAATTTGGTAGATAGGAAGGAGTAAGGGAGGAAAACGTGGGTTTTTACTCAGATTCCAAGAGGTAAAGTTAATGGTATTTGTTTGTGCTAGCTTTCTGTCACTGTGACAAAATAGATTACCTCAGGTAATCTACTTATGAGGAGGAATGGTTATTCTTATTGCCTTTGGGCCTGTAGTGAGGCAGCACATTATGGTCGGGACAGCATGGCAGAACAAAGCTGCTCAACTTATGGTGTCTGGAAGGAGAGGGAGGGAGGGAAGAAAGGGAGGGGGGAGAGAGAGAGAGAGAGAGAGAGAGAGAGAGAGAGAGAGAGGAAGAAGAGGTCCTAATGTTTCCTTCGTGGGCATACACCCAGTGACTTCCTCTATGCCCTACCCCTAAAGCTTACTTCTCGATAGCATCATTAACCACCAAGTAATCAACATATGAGCCTTCAGGAATACTCTAGACCCAACTATAACAGTATGAAGATGATCCATTCTTTTTTTTTTTTTTTTTCTGTTTTTGAGACAGGGTCTCCCTGTAGCCCCAGCTGGACTGGACTGGAGCTCGATAAGCAGAACAGGCTGGCCTTGAACTCACAGAGATCTGCCTGCCTCTGCCTCATAAGTGCTAGGATTAAAGGCACCCTGGGGAAGACGATGATCCATTCTTACAACAGCATACACGGGCATACACACATGTAGACTTCTCTCACAGCCACACTTTCACCCCATCCCTGTCCTCCCTCCACTGAGATGGGGTATTGTTAGGTGCCCCAGGCTGGCCTCAAACTCAAATTGATGATCCTTCTGTCTCCTGTGGTGGGTCTATGCTCTGGAATTACAGGTGTGTGCTACCACACTTGGGCTGTGGGGACCCTTTCTTTCCAGCCTCTGGTTGAGGTTGGGGTGCTCTCTCACAGAGTTCCCTCTGCCCATCACCCCTTTAGTCACAAAGCTCAGCATCAGGTCAGCCATGTTCTACCCAGCTGGTGCTAGGTATGAAGAGAGAGGGGAGTGGAGCTGAAATATCCTCTCTCTGCCTTTGAACAACATAACAGGGATTTGAGTAACTCATATGGAGATGAGAATGTGACAGGAGACAGCCGCACAGACCACCACAGGAAAGGCATTGCATGCTGGACAGGCAGGCTTCCATGATGGGTTTCTGGCATTGAGGGAGCATGAGGATACTAAGACTGGCTTGAGAGGTCAGGGAGGAGGGCCCTTAGACTGGGCACATGCCTCACTGGGCCTCTGAGAGTCCTCTGTCCAGTTAGTGACCTGGTACTTACTAGGGGGCAGGCACAGAGATAAGTGCTAGGGATGTGAAAATGTGTGGTCCAGCCTCTCTGCCCTTTGTGAGCACAGTAAAATACGCCACAGGTCATTTCAGGGTAGAAGGTCAAGTGTCAAGGTGAATATGTGGGGCACAGAGGGGCAGGGGCAGGGTTCAGTCCTCCCAAAGACCCCAGAAGGGACTTCCCAGAGCAGGAGGTCCCAGTGTTGCTACCTATGGAAGGAACAAGCATCTTACAGATGGACAAGAGAAGGGAGCCATGTATATAGGGGCACTTAGGAGAATGAGGGCTTGGAGAGAAGAGCATGGGGCATACTTTGAAGGCTGGAGGGAGGGCAAACTCTGGAGTGAAGTACTAGGCTGCAGAGGGGAAGGCCAGGCCTAGGAAGGCTATGAATGTGCATGTTCAGGGAGGGAAGGAGATGGAGGCTGTGCCTTTGACAAGGCATGGAGAATGGTTTAGAGGGTGGCAGGAATCAGCAGAGAGCTATGTAGAGGCAGGAAGATCTCAAGTTCAAGACCAGCCCAGGCTACATAGTGAGATCTTATAGTCTAAAACAAGGACTGGCAATGTAGCTCACTGGTAGAGCACTTGCCTTGCATCATAAGGCCACGGATTATATCCCCAATATTTTAAACATATCACTAGGTGGCACAGCACTTGGGAGGCAGAGGCAGGTGGATCTCTGAGTTCAAGGCCAGCCTGGTCTACATAGGGAGTTCCAGGCCATCTCGGGCTACAGGGAGATCTGTCTCAAAAAAAGACTCCCCCAAATATATATATATATATATCAACCACTAGGCCTGGAGGCACATGTCTGTAATGCCAGCACTAGGTAGGATGAGGCAGGAGGATTGCTGTAAATTCAAGGCTAGCCTGGATGATATAACAGGTTTGAGATAGCCAGAGTTGTACAATAAAGCCGATCTCTAGAAAGAAGAGAAGAAAGGGGAGGGAGGGGGTGGCAAGCAGCAAGCCAGAGCCAGAAACAATGGCCTCAGAAAGTGAAAGGAACTGGTCAAGAGAGAGGTGTTTATTTATCAATGCCTAGCAGAGTATAGGGAGTGGTCTTCATGATGACTCATCTTTGACCTGAGAATGGGGGCCCAACTCCAGATCATACCTTTTCTGTTCCAGTTGAGTGGAGGTGTCAGGGAACAGAAGAG